TAAGATATATAACAGTAATAATCTGCTGGTAATAATGCAGTAGACTAGGAGAGTTTTCACCTAAAGATATTACAAAGTAAAATATTATTCTTAAGATCGAACTTAGAGGCTTTTATACTTATGTGAGTTAGATTAGAATAATAGTTTAGCTATAGTATATATTATGCTGCTTGAATAAAAATGTACTTATGTTTTCAATTGATTAATAAACTGATAATCTAACCTGGTTACAGATACTCAAAAAAAAATATATTATTATTAAATGCTTTTATTTTTTATAATATATTTTTTATATTATTTTTTTTTTAATCTTTGACTTAACTAATTAAATAAAATCTTAATATTATATTTTAGAAAATATTATTTAACATTTTTAGTAATATAAATTGAAGTATTATTTTTTTGAAATAAATGTTTTTTATAATTAAAATTATTATTAATTAAAGATAATAAATATTTTTCAAGTATTTTCATATAATTTAATCTATTTAATTATTATTTACTTTTATTAATGAATTTAATTTTTTATTAGAAAAATCTCTATATTATTATTTTTTTATCTTCAAATTTTATTGTTAAAACCATATTTTTAATATTATATTTTATATCAAGAATTCTTCAAATATAATCAGAACCACATTTTTAAATATTATAAATTTGCTTTTTTTGAAATAAGTATAATAAATACATATTACTGGTTTGATTTAATATAAAAATAAAATAAAATAAAATTTAAATTTAAATAATTATAGATATATAAATATTTTAAACATGATAATAACTATAGATATAATACTCAAACTAAACAAACTTTAATTTATAATCTTTTATAAAGTAATAAATTGTTTTTATATTTTATCTAAAAACTTTGTCTTAAAACCACTATGCCAATATATCTAAAGTTTTTGATTGATTAAAAAAATAATCTTCAATTGATATAATGGCAGGTTATAAAATTAAATACAGTATGTTAAGGAAAAAAATAAAATAAAACCAATTTCTTATATTAAGGCATATAGACCAATTTGCGTTTCTTATCCTTTATAATTAATTGGATTATAGATTCTCTTAAGTATTATTTCTAATTAAATTTATAAACTATAGTAAAAAAATTAGTACAGCTCAGCCAACTCTAAAATTCTCCTTTCTAAATCAAACAAATGACCATCATATGCATCAGGAGCGATGGAACGAAGAGCCGATGTGAGATTTAGCAAATATTCCTTGTTAGTTCCACTTGGTCCTGTAAAAAGAATATATAATTAACACCTGATTCAATCATTAATTATAAAGATAAATTAAACAAACGTACCAACCGAATGAAATATTTGTCGAGCCATAACATCTAAAGGAGCTGGTCCAACATATGATTCATTCTTGGTGGTAGCAATATAAACTACGGCCTTCATAAACGCAAATATTAAAAAAAATTACACAGATAAGGCCGATACCTAATACATATAGCTTACATTCTTCACAACGGGTTTCTCATGCGCTAACTGGAATACATCTAAATAATGAATCGTGTATCCATTCTGAAAAAATAACTTGATTAAGTTTGAGAACAAATTATAATCTATCTTT